CCAACTCCTGATATTCTGTGATTCTGTGAGTGCTGCTGTTCCCAGTCCTCTCCATGGGGAAGGTTGCTGGGAGCTGTTTTGGGTGAGGAGACAGCTGGTATAACCCAACTGATACCTCAAAACCGATGACCTGGTTCTTGCTGGGACTGGCATCTGTGAGGTAGTGAAGACCTGGTGGGTTTGTTCTCTGCTGCTGCTCATGGCCCTCCTGAAGGAGAGAGCGGCTCATGGGGTCTCTCACCCTGGCTCAGCACTGCCCAAGTGTCTCAGGGCAGCCCAGTGAACCCTCACCCTGGTGATGAGCATCAGCCTTGGTGTCTGATCTGGAATCACAAAAATAAGCATTTTCCTTGCAAGGATGGGAAAAAGAAGCCTTATTGCTGCAGCAGGCTGGGTTTAGTGTGGTATCCAGCTGCTTGGGCATAGTTCCTACAGGGCTTGGCCTAAGGAGGTCCTCCTAGCCCCCCAGCAGTCAAGACTATCCTCTGAGGGTCTCCTCTAACCCCTTATCTCGTCCTCTTGCAGTACGACCAGTACAAGACGCCCATGGAAAACATCGGCCTGCAGGACTCCTTGCTTTCCCGCTTCGACCTGCTCTTCATCGTGCTGGACCAGATGGACCCCGAGCAGGACAGGGAGATCTCGGACCACGTCCTGCGGATGCATCGCTACCGTAACCCCAACGAGCAGGACGGGGATGGTGAGTCGCTTGTAACTGCAACCTCCTTGCTGCTCAGTCCTGTCTTTCCTTGGTGGGTTGTCACCCCTTGGTGGCAGCTCTTTGGGTTCAGCATCCCTGGCTTTGCTGAAGGCTGCTTTTGGTGGCTTTTGGAAGTTGTTCCAGAGGCTAAAAGCCTGTTTTCTGTGACTCTCCCCTCTCCAGCCATGCCCCTGGGCAGTGCCGTGGAGATCCTGGCTACGGAGGACCCTGACTTTGTGCAGGAGGAGGAACAGGAGCTCCAAGTGTATGAGAAACACGATGATCTCCTGCATGGACCCAACCGCCGCAAGTGAGTCCTTCATCCCACGTTCCCTGGAGCTCTCTGGGGGTTTCCAGCACCGTGAGTTGATGAGTTTGGCTGGAGTGTGCAAACGGTGGTTGATTGCTGGTGCTAAATGATGCTGCAGGTGGTCCCTGGGGAGGTATGTGGGCAGGATGACAAGAAAGCCCTGCTCTGGGCTTTATCTCCTATGTCAGGCAGATGGGGATCGTCTCCTGAAGCCAAATTCCCCACGTACCTGGACCCTCTTGAAGGGTAAAAAGTGGGAAGCCCCACTTCTGCAAACGCCCTTTGCCCGTCCCCACCTTGGAGGACACGGGTGTGCGTGCATCCCCCGCAGGGAGAAGATCGTCAGCATGGAGTTCATGAGGAAGTACATCCACGTGGCAAAGATGATCAAGCCCGTCTTGACCGAGGAGTCGGCAAACTACATCGCGGAGGAGTACTCCCGCCTGCGCAGCCAGGACGAGATGAACTCTGATGTCGCCAGGGTGAGCCCTGGGAGCAGCTCCCTTTCAAGCCAGGAGGAGGGAAACTGAGGCACAGGCTCCCCTCTTGCCTTAGGGGTGTTTTCCACCCTGGATGTGGCACCTCGGTGAGGTGGGATATGGGTCAGCTTCACCAAGACTCCTCTTTCTGTCTCCCCCAGACCTCCCCTGTCACGGCTCGTACCTTGGAGACCCTGATCCGCCTCTCCACGGCCCACGCCAAGGCCAGGATGAACAAGACTGTTGATCTGCAGGATGCTGAGGCAGCTATGGAGCTGGTGCAGTTCGCCTACTTCAAAAAGGTGGGGAGGAGGTGTCCCTTGGTGCTCAGAGGTCCTAAAATTGTCATTGAAAGGGATGGGTTTGGTGCAGCATCTGGGGCTGCTGGTGGGGTCCTTTCCTGGTGGCAGTGTGGGATGAGACCTTGGGTCCCTTGGGGATGGTCTCCTAAAAGCAGCTTGAGTGGGAAAGGAGCTGGAGCCCATCCTTGTCTTTGCCACGCAGGTGTTGGAGAAGAAGAAGCGCAAAAAAAAGACAGAGGATGACTCCGAGAGCGAGAAGGAGGAGGAGGAGGAGTCACAGCCCAAGGAGGAGCGCACAACAAGGAGGTAGGAGCCAGAGCAAGGGAGGAGGGGAATGGTACACAGGGGGCACCCTGAGGTTGCAGCAGTGCCAGTTTTGGAGAAATACTCCATATTTTGCTCAGCCTAGTGGATCATCCTCCCCCAGTTCATAATAGAGTGACATAGTTATTACATAGATAAGGAACCGGCTGGATGGCCACGTCCAAAGAATCACAGAATCACAGAATATCAGGAGTTGGAAGATACCTTGAAAGCTCATCCAGTCCAACCCCTGCCAGAGCAGGATCACCAGAGCAGTCACACAGGAACATGGCCATGCAGGTTTTGAATGTCTCCAGAGAAGGAGAGGCCACAAGCTCTCTGGGCAGCCTGTTCTGGGCAGCAAAGAGTTGCAGTCAACGACTCAATTTTAAAAATAGAGATCAGTAACAAGTAGGGGTCTCTGCTGAGAACAATACCGTGTCAGGAGGAAGGAGCCAGGCATTGCTCTGTGATGTCCAATGCCAGGACAAGGGTTAATGGGAGCAGGCTGGAGCACAGGAGGTTCAATCTGAAGATGAGGACAAACTTCTTTACTGTAAGGGTGACAGAGCCCTGGCCCAGGCTGTTTTTTGTCTAGAGACCCGCAAAGCCGTGGCCGTGTTCCTGTGTGACCGGGTCTGGGTGATCCTGCTCTGGCAGGGCTTGGACTGGGGGAGCTTTTGAGGTCCCTTCCAACTCCTGATATTCTGTGATTCTGTGATTCTGTAATACTATTTAGTACCTGTGCAAACTTCATGAAGTTCAACAAGTCCAAGTGCAAGGTCCAGCACCCATGTCAGAGCAGTCCCCAGTGTCAGTAACAGACTGGGGGATGGATGGATTGAGAGCAGACCTGGGAATACTGGTGGATGAAAAACTGGGCTTGAGCTGGCAGTGTGCTCTTGCAGCTGAGAAAGCCAACCTTGTCCTGGGCTGCATCAAGAGAAGCGTGGCCAGCAGGGTGAGGGAGGTGATGCTGTCCCTCTACTCCACTCTGGTGAGACCCTAGTGGAGGGTAGACTTAGACTGGATGTAAAGGAGACATTTTTTACAATGAGGGTGTTGAGGCCTTGGCCCAGGTTTTCCAGAGAAGCTGTGGGTGCCCCCTCCCTGGCAGTGCCCAAGGCCAGGTTGGCCAGGGCTTGGAGCAGCCTGGGCTGGTGGAGGTGTCCCTGCCCATGGGGGGTTGGAGTGGGGGGGCTTTAAGGTCCCTTCCAACCCAAACCATTCTGTGATCCTGGCAGTCCACAACCCTTGGGGCTGGTGCTGGCCTGGGTTTCCATGCCATGGGCAGGGGTTTGTGGCTGGAGGGTGACTTTCCTGTGAGCTGCTCATACCCTGTGTGGTCTTGGCCAGATGTCTCCAGGAGCTCAAGGTTTTGGGGAGGGGGTTCCTGAGGTCTGCAGTTCAGCTGTAGCAGGGGTGACCTCTTCTTCCCCCACCCAGGAGAAAGAAGGCACGCACAGGAGACGAAGGGGACTCCTATGACCCCTACGACTTCAGTGATGCCGAGGAGGAGATGCCACAGGGTGAGTCTCTGGGGTTTTGGTGGCACCTGGTTCCTGAGGGTGCTGCTGCCTTCTGCCCTGAGTAGTCTGCACACCCTGGGGAGCAGCAATGCCTTGGGGTCACTTGGGGTCCCTGGTACCATCCAAACCCCCCAGGCAGGTTGAAGGTGACCCTTCTCTCTGCTCCAGTCCAGGCACACACTCCCAAGACCCCCGAAGCCTCGGCTGCTGGCGAAGCGAAGAAGCCGGAGTTGGCTGAGCCGAGGTGAGTGGGGGTTGGAGGAGAGGAGGTTTCTGTCCCTGCATGTCCCACCCCACCCTGGTGGGTCCAAGCTGTTGTCTGATGCTGGAGATGCATCTGTGGAGGGTGCTCACAGCTCTGGTTTTGGCTTTCCTGCTGGATGTCACTTGCAGGATGGGGAAGGGCTGAGGCATCCTGGGCTGGGGAGGAAGGGGAAGGACTTGTGTGTGGTCTCTGAGGGGTCTACTTCTCACCTTGCCTGCCCAGGTTGAAAGCATTCAAGGCTGCCCTCCTGGAGGTCTTCAAAACTTCCCATGCCCAGTCTGTGGGTCTGAAGAACGTGATGGAGTCCATCAACCGTGACAACCCCGAGCCCTTCTCGCTGGCTGAAGTGAAGGTGGCGCTGGCCCACATGCAAGATGACAACCAGATCATGGTGTCTGATGACATTGTCTTCTTAATCTGAGCCTCTGGGCGGAAGAGCCTGAGCTCTTGTGGACTCTCAGTCTGGAAACTCCTTGTGTTTGCCTTCAACTCTCTCCTGAATGCTTCACCTGGTTGAGCTGAGCTTTAGGCAGCTCAAGTCTGTGCACTTTACGGTCCTTCCTCCCTGTGCATTGCTGGCACCCGAAAAGCCAGGAGCTCTGGTAGCTCTCTTACTGTTGTTGCCTCCAACGTGGAGTATTCGGGAAGAGGTTTGTTTATGCAAGGAACCTAAATGAAAAGCTTAGGTGCAAATTATCAACACTTTTAATGTATTGTTTTTAGTAATGGTTTCAACCTTTTAAATAAAAACAAATGGATGTAGGAATCCAACATTCAATAGCAATGGTGGTAAGAAGCAATGTGAGAGCTCCACTGTTAGTAGTGAAGCTTTTATTTTTCCCTTTTTTGTTTTTTTCTCTCCTTTTTTCCCAATTCCATAGCCTAGATCTGCTTGTCTCACAAGTAGAGGTGCCCAATGTCTGTCCTGTTGGCTGTGACCAGCCTTTTCTTTTTCTCCTACCCACTTTGTGGAGGACAACTTCTGGTGATGCAGGGACAAGTGAAGTCCAACCTTCTCCATCACCCATGGTTCCACTTGATTTCTAGATTTCACAGCCCTGCTGGGAGTTTTGGCCCCAGGTGGGTGGGAAGAACATGGGATGCTCAGAGCTGCCATGGGGACATGTCCCTGGTGCAGGTGGGTTTAGTCTCCAGCTGCCCCTGCTCTCAATGTGACTGTGCTTGTATAAATACAATGAGAGCATCACAAATGGGAGGAAGCCTTCTGTAGTAAAGGAAGGTCAAAGCTATGGGAACCTGGGATCCTGCATCCATCCTCCATGTCCTGACTGAGCTGCTGCAAATCTTCCTGTGCCCTGGGGAAGGTAACCATAAGCTGAGACTGTAAAAGCCTTCCCTTGCTCCTGGGGGATTTGTCTTGCTTTCTGGGAACACGTAAGTTACTGCTTCTTGGAGAAAGGCTGTTCCTTAGAAACCTGTGAGCTCCTGTGTTTTGGGAAGGTTTTCAAGAAAAGCTGAATGTGCAGTCAGACCAGTTTGCTGTTCATGATGCCAGAGCTGTTGAGGGTTTGGCATATTTTTAATTGTTTGGTTTGGGTTTTTCTTGTTGTTTTGGTTTTTTTGTTTGTTTTGGCAAGTTTGAGGTTAAGTTTTGGAGAAGACCCCGATCAGCACAGGCTGCTTGCTGTTGTCCCTGCATAGTTCATGTGCCCTTGTTTCTGGATGCTGTAAACATTGATTTGAATAATAAAAATGTCTAGATACTTATTTCCCCCATGACTTGCTGCTTGCTTGGATTTAAACCGTTCCCATTTCTGGGGATGAAGCTCTACCATCTTCTGAGGCCCTGTGCTGCTATGGAAAGCCTTCAGGCAGCTGCCTGCCCCTTTGGGCTCAGGGATGGTCTTGGGCACATCCTTCCACCACTGTGCCTCTGGCTTGGTGGACCAGGCCCTTGCAGAAATGCCCTTGGGGTGGGTGGGTATTAAATGTGGGCAGCTTCTGCCTCTCCCACCGCACAATGTGGCTTCTGCCATCGTGGTGGCTAAGAGGCCTTGGTAGCAACTCATTGCACAGGGAAGAGGGAGACCCCCATTTTTCTTCTACAAGCAGACCTGTTGAATTATAAGGCCTGATTTCTGAGTTCATCCAACACAGCTGTGAGAGCAGATTTTCAGGTCTGAAGGGGATTTTGCATGTTTGCAACCTCCTGAAGATCTCAGGTTGCATGTGTTGTAATTCTGTAGTGAACTGAGGCCTATGGCGTGGCCCAAAAAAACTGTAAAGACTGGTGAAGGTGAGTTAAACACAGATGTTTGGAGTTGTTCTGACTCAGTGGTTTTATTACAGAGCTCCAGACCTGAGCTTTGTGAGGCCGGGGGGGGAAGCTGAGCCAGCAAACTCTGCTCCTGCAGGGCCACTGTGGTGGTGGCTCCACGCTGCAAAGGCCCCAGGCAGCAGCAATGGGCCTCATGTACCCAGGTGCCTTTGTCAGGGTGTAGGTGGTGTTTCCTCACCAACTCATTTGTGGCCAAAGGAACCAACTGTTTTCATCTGGAAACTTGAAGCTGCTTGAAGGTAAAGGGGCCCAA